TAGGGAAAGTCTGGAATTGATGTTTCTGGATGGGATTATTTGAAACTGCATTACTGTTTCATCTCTAGTTTTTATACTTGTGCTGCCCTGGTTTGGTCCTCATGCAACAAGAATTGAATCTCAGCCGAGCCTCTTTATGGTCCCCCTGCCTCTAATATCAGGTTCCCTTAATTCAGCCTTCACACCACATGCCGGAATTATCTTTCTAAAGCATAACTTTAATAATATCCCTTCCCTACTAACATCCCCTACTTAAATGGCTTCCCATTACCTTTAAGATAAAATCCAGCTCGTTAGCGTGCCATTCAGTGATGTCCATGATCTGGCTGTAACCTTTTATCTCCAGCTATACCTCTTACCAGTCACCACACTGTACCACACCTCCTAGCCAAACCTCAGCTTTCTCTTTCCTGAACATAACCCTGTGTGCCCCTGCCCAGGCCTTGCCTCATGCTGTTCCTTCTGTTTGCCATGTCTTCCTTCCCACTCCACTTATTGAAGCCCCTCAAGGTCAGAGCCATATCCTATGCTCTCTTGAAGACTTCCTGTGTAGTTTCCTATCTATCAGTCTACACGTTGCCCAAGTGGAAAACCCTTTCTCTTCCCTTTGTTTCTATCCCTTATAGGACATATAAAAATTTCTGTTTTGTTTTTCAAATCGTTCTTCAAGAGTGTAACCTCCTTGAGGAAAGAGATTGTATTTAAGTTGAGTATCTTGACTTGAGGAGAACTGAAAAAAAAATTGTTGAATATTCTTTTTTTTTTTTTTTTTTTTTTTTTTTGCAGTACGCGGGCCCCTCACTGCTGTGGCCTCTCCCGTTGTGGAGTACAGGCTCCGGACGCACAGGCCCAGAGGCTGTGGCTCACGGGCCCAGCTGCTGCGCGGCACGTGGGGTCCTCCCAGACCGGGGCACGAACCCATGTCCCCTGCATCGGCAGGCAGACTCCCAACCACTGCGCCACCAGGGAAGCCCTTGAATATTCATTTTTTGTGGATCTCTTACTATTTGAGTTTCAAGTTTTGGAACTTTGTCTTCTATATTAATTAGTTAATGATTTATACTACTAAATATAAGAAACTCTGAAGTGAGTCATTTTTTAAAGGGAAGATACTTTCTCAATATAGATAATTTATCCACTTCATACTCCTATCTATTCCTCTAAAGTTTAGATTTTACTTTCTTTTCTCTCATCACAGAACCTGCAATAGCTATTGACCTACTCTGGTTCAAAGGTCCAAATAGATTTAGTTTAGGAAATTTTATGGAGAATATGTCTCAGCTTTTGCTCTGACCAAAGGATGCTTTACAGGTAGGTACCAGGGAATTAAAATGTAACACTGGAGGTTCTTGCCAGAGGGAGTAAACCACTGAACACTGTTGCCATAAGAAACATGGCTACCAATTTGTATGTTTTTTTGCTCAGTAGAGGTAAATAGGGACAGGTTCTCAGGCATCTTGATGCCTCCAACAGTAGTGTGTTACCTGACACTAGTAAGAGAGGCCTCAATGAATGTTGACTTGAATATGACTTTTTAAAACCTACGTAAGGTTTTGGGCAGGTAGGCAGATCAGTCTAGATGAGACAAGAATCTCACAAGGAAAGGAAACATAGTGTCATCTGATCTAACTGCCCTCCTCTGCTCCTAAGTGGGGATTTGGTCCCTTTTGTAGCATGGGGCACAGGTGGCAGTCCAGTGTTTGCTTGACAACTTTGGGGAGGAGCCTCATGCTCTCACCAGGCAGCCACTTCTCTTGCAGAAGTGCTGCATTCATTGGGTTTTCCCCTAAGTGGAAGCAGTTGTAAATGTGTCTTTCTGTGGGGCTGCGCAGTTTCCAGGAGCTGAGTATGTTCCTGGGCTTCTCTGGGGAGCAGGGTCCATGTTGAAGCCCTGCTGCCTTGCTGGCTGGCTTCCTCACACGGCGTCAGCTGAAAATGTACTGATTCCAGAGGGAGGAAGTACCCGCTCGGTTTCCAGTTCTTGGCTGTTCTGAATGTATGTTTGCAGGCATTTTTGGCATTTTCTGGTGGACACATTTGCTGGTCAGTTCCTTAAATTGATGGGTTCAAAGGTAGCAGCCTAAGGTATGCTGTAATGCCTTCTGCTGACTGTTCAGCCATTTGTGAAGGCTTGGATGTAATCTTACCTACAGACAGGGGTAGAAGGAGATGATGTCTTGAAGTTGAGGGCGGCCCCAGGGCTTGAGGTTTTTCTCTTGAGAATGAGCATTTGGGCTTTCTTTTGAGCTTTAAAAATGATGAGTATGAAATTGGGAATAATGGGACATGGAGTGAATAAGGGTGAAGGATAGTTTAGCTGATCCTATGATGGTTTGGTGAGGAGGAAGGCAGAACAAAAAATCCTGGGGGGATTCCTGGCACTTCCAGAGGCCTGTGAAATGCTCCCTCTCTCCCCTCTCTTTTTTGTTGTCATGTAGACATACGGCACTTTATTTAAGGTCTAGGAAGGGAATTGAAACTGTCTCGGGTGGCTATTTTTATCTAAATGATTGATAATGATTAAATAACTTTTGTGTTGGAAACATTTTTAGCATTTGTTTTGCATTAATCACAGCATTAGAAGTAACTTCTCACTGAACTCTTTTTGTTTTCCTTTTACAAGCCTTCACCTAAGCTTTGCATTTGTTTATTTTAAGAAATAAAGACAAGACTTGTGCATGATTAAAATAATTCATAACGAAAGATAATAAAGGAAGAATGGTGCAGAAGTTCTTCTTCTGAGGGGATGGAGAGATTGGCCCAGGCAGCCCAGGGTTGTGTTCAGCTTTGCAGACTGTTCTTCACATGTGAGAGGGAAGTTGTGCAAGAAGCCAGTCAGATGCAGTTTCCACAGACCTGAGCATCAGCACTTAGACCTCCTTTCATCATGGTTGGCTTTGATGGTGACTCAGCCAGCTGTGGCTTTAGTATAAGAAGCATCTAGCTTGTTACTGGACTGGAGGACTCACCTCTCTTATCTTTATCCTTGGGCCCACAACCATAAAAATTAATAACAATTCAATGAAAGCCTGTGTGTGTGCGTGTGTTTCCCCCTCTGATCCAATATAATATAATTTGGGGATGTGCACTTTCTGGTTTGATTTCTTTCCAATCATTTTTTTCTGATGCCATAGATAAGTGAGGGGGGATGGGGCTTCTGGAACTTAGTTTGAGTTACCTTTGAGGTCATTTTCCTTCCTGCCATGGCTAATTATCTCTCTGCTTCTCAGTTGCAGATCTGATCCCTTCTGAACAACCTCACCGTGTCTCCATCCCTGGGACTCTGAACCCAGCAGCTGGACCACTTTCTCCTTGGAATTTTGGGTGCCCTTTCTTCTCACCTTTCCCTTTTCCCTTTTCCCCGTCCCCCTCCTGAGAACTCTTGGAGACTGTAGGATTGTCATGGAGTCCAGGGAAGTCTTAAGCGGTTCCCGGCAAAGGGGGAGCGAGTCGGAATTCCTGCCGGTCTCTTCAGCCAAGCCCTTGACTGCTCCTGGCTGTGCAGGGGAACCTTTGCTCTCTGCTCCAGAGACTGGGAAGGGGATCCCAGTAGGCGGAGAACGCATGGAGCCAGAGGAGGAGGATGAACTGGGCTCGGGACGGGATGTGGATTCCAATTCCAATGCAGACAGTGAGAAATGGGTGGCAGGAGATGGTCTGGAAGAACAGGAGTTTTCTATCAAGGAGGCTAACTTCACAGAGGGGAGCCTGAAGCTGAAGATTCAGACCACGAAGCGGGCTAAGAAACCCCCAAAGAATCTGGAGAACTATATATGCCCACCCGAGATCAAGATCACCATCAAGCAGTCTGGGGACCAGAAGGTGTCCCGTGCTGGGAAAAATAGCAAAGCCACAAAGGAGGAGGAAAGAAGCCACTCCAAAAAGAAGGTAGGGATCCCTGTTGACTAGGTTTTTTCTGTTTGCTTTTGCCATTTTATCCTCAAACTTTAAGGGTCTATTTGCTTATTACTTAATTATTTATAAATTACTAATCTCCTTGATGGAATACTTAGGACCTGCAGAATAAATGTCTCTGATATCTCTGTATAGTATCCAATTTATTATTATGAATACTATCAACCAAAAACAAAACAAAACAAAGCAGAAAAGAAACTACTAGAATTATAATCCTGGAAGTTCCTATTTATTGTGTAGCAGCCAATTGGCTGGGTCAGATCTGGCTAAACTGTGACAAAATTTGAGGGTGTTTTTTGTTTTTTTTTGCTTTAATATTTCCATTTGTTCTCACAGTCAAGAGTAGGATGTTGAAAATTTTGGTCAATCAGAACAGTCAAGAACAGTTATAACCTCCTTTTGGTTTCAATCACTATTGTAAATCTTTCTACAATAGATAAATCACTTACTTGACTGAGGAAGCCCAGTCTTTATAGTAAATGAGGCTCTTCTAGGGCTGAGAGATCATTATCCTGGAAGCCAGTGGTGAGCTTTAGAGCTGGAGAAAGGGAAGGGGTAGGGGACTGACATGAAGCTCTATCTAACAAACTGTAGACTTTTAAGATTGAGTGTTGAATGAACTTGGTACATGGTCATTTTCCTCATAAAAGTCAATGTGGGTGTGGAGCTCTCTAGGTGATTTAGTGATGTTCTTTGGTTGGGAATGTATGGATCTAGGTTTCATTGTATGTATTTTGTGTCACAGGGTTACAGAGACCTCCCTTTCTGGGAGGGGTGTGGCACTCAGCTGTGATAGCAGAGGGCTGCCCTAGTCTAGAAAGTTTTTCTTTCCAAGAATCTCTGGGTCTTGTGAACAGCTCTGAAAGGAGCCCTCTTGCTGACAGAGTTTTGCACTTCTAGGTAGTAGATGTTAACCAGAGTCTTTGTAACTCTTTCC